GTGAGGGAGGTTTGTTGAGGCTAGGGATATTGTACTCTTTTAGAAGCAGCTTGATGTTGTGATGAGAGGACAGTAAGATGGATGTTCTGTAAGATGAGATCAAATAAGTTGAAGGGCATTCTTCAACTCTTTTGGAAAGAGTTAATCTTCCTCTTCCTCTTAATTCTTCTCAATGAATAGAAAATTCCACACCAGATTCCCAGTAATAATAATAATAATCCTTGCATTTGATATTGCGCCTGATCACATCTTCGAGACGTCTCAAAGCGCTTCACAGAATATACTGTAAAGTGAATTGACTGTATATTTTTTTGTATGCATTTGCTTTATTCAGTGGAGTTCCACTGGAAAATGTCTAAAAAGGTTCAGCTATATATTATTTATAATGAAATATACGAGAACTGATGAGAACAAAGAAAAAATAATCATATTGAATATTATGTTTGGAAAAGGACGTATTCTCTAGGCAGAGAGAAGACAGCTGACATATTTTGAGATTTGCTTGATCTGGAGAAGAAGTTAATAAATTACACTTAAGTTAATAAATTAGCTGGAAGCAGCTCATCCCATCTGAATCACATGTACAAATTTAGAATTATAAGAAGAAAAATTGTACAGTAAAGATGAAAGACAGCTTAATAAAAGCCATTATTGTCTTAATGTATGAAATTAAAACAGGAGTCACTGGGAACACGCAGCAGGTTAGGCAGCACCTATGGAGAGAGGAAAATGAGTTAATGTTTCTGGTTGATAACTTATTTTCTATTCAAATTGCTGATAAGGTTTAAAGAAATAATTTGAAGGCTAATCCTGCAAATATATTTAGCCTTGATAAGAATTGTGTAAGCTCCCTGATGACTCTATTGGTAAAGCATAAAGTGAAGGGGAACCAGCAATATTTCTTTGTGGCTGGTAAAGCAAACTCTCTTGAGACTCTGTTAGCTTCATTCCTGCTCATTTCATGCCCCACATACAAGAATCTGCATTCAAGTTTAAAAATATTTAATGAATCATTTTTCTTTCATTCAGTGAAACATTCTTATTTAAACCAAACTATTTACGTTCTCAGTCTGCAATGGTACATTCTTCCCTCCAGTGAGCTGTGGGAGAGGGGGATGTTGATCTGTGAAGGAAAATAATGGAGGGGGTGGGTGAATATTTGTGGATATTTTGCCCAGTTTCTTTGGAGTACAGGGAGTATCTATTGCAGAACCTTCCCTCAGGACAGTAATAATAAAATAATAACCTTCGCATATGATGTCCTCGCCTATAATGTCAAAACTTCTCAAAGCACTTCACAGGTAATTGCTCTCAAGTGCAGTGACTGAGTATTTGCAGCAAAAAGCGACAGTCACAGCAATGTCTCACGAATAGCCATGGAGTGAATCACTAATTGATCTGGAGGATTGTTTGACTGGGAAAGAACTCCCTCCTCTTTTCAGATGTTTCACAACATCTTTAACTACCATCTGAATAGACAGATTAGACCTCAGTTTAATATTTCATCTTCCAAAAATGCAGTGCTAGAATGTCAGACTGAACTATGAGCACAAGTCCTGATGTGGGGTTGAATCAACCTTGTGACCCAGAGCTGAGGAGGCTATCAACTGAACCACCCTGATACCCATTAGATAAAATGGATGGTGAGATGTAAATATTCAGGCAGATTGGTGTGTGGGTGGTATACGCAAAGGGTTTAATGGGATGAATTTTGCTCGTTCTGTGCCTTCTTATGGTTTTGCACTTTTGCTACACGTTTGCTACATTGAACAATATCAGCTCAATGTTTATTTACTTTTCTCACATCCATTTGGTTTTCTTGCCTGTTCTTTGTTATCAGAGGACATCCTCTCAGTGAAGGAAATAATATAGTAGACACAACCAGTAGGTCAGAAGTCACACTGTGTCTTGACAGGACTACTGTTAACAAGTGACAAATTAGTAAGATGGAAGAGTACGTTACTGGATAGGAACAGCTTTGATATAAAGTTTTATATTAAAATGTGTCAACAAATCATGCATACGCACTTTGAAACATCTTCCTGATGTAAAAGGCACCATATAAAAATGCAAGTATTATTATTATTAATTTGACTACTGTATTTACATTTCAATATGATATCCTTTCCTAAGCAAAAACATATAACAGTTGTTCATTACGTAAGTGAATGAGTTCAATACCAGCACATAAGAATACATTAATATTCTTTTCTAAAATTGTTGTCTTAAATTTCATTTGATGGAAACTTACCATAATACTAAATAATTTTAGATCAATGTTTTTTATTTAGTGTTTCGATGTGGATATTATATACATACATACATATATTTAACTAAAGCATGCTATTTTTTTTCCAGATGTTTGAGTTTACAATTCACAAATTTAATCACTGCACATATTACTCCAGTCACTGGTGGCAAAAAATTGTTTGAACTAAAAAGTTGTAATTTAGCTGTACTTGTAATAGAACGCATGTTGAATGTTATACTGGATCTTAACGAGATAAGGGATGAATTAGGTAGAAATGTTATAGCGCATCAGGAAATAGAAAGTGTGTTAAATGGATTATTTTAGTTCTCCCAAATGAAGGTTAGACAAATTCCTCATCTGGTACTTTTATCCCAAATCTGTAACAAGTGTAGACATTACTAAGCAAGAGATTTTGTGAAAAAAAATGTGCTTAACAAAGTCAAAGATCAGTGCTGCAAATCTTTCTTTTTTTCTCTTAATCCCAAACTCAGAACATTCTCTCCTACAGCAGTGTTCACAGCGTAACAATTACACTTTATGCACCAGCTGAATTATGATTATTTGACAATGTAACTTCTTGATTTCACTGAGTTTGCCCGTACTCATTCCATTTAAGAAAGAAGAGACTTTCATCCCTATAACCTAGGCAGGATTTCAGCTAGAGAAGTTAGTCCTTTAATCCATTGTTCCACCCATTCTCCATTGAAGGAACAGATGATCCTGTTCATAATGGATAAGACTGCATATCTTGTCCCCTATTGTACACTGAAGTGAGCCAAGCTCTCGGAAGAAGGTTTAAATTTCTTATGTGATCTCACGAAACCAAACCACCTACGCACACTTGTGATGGCCAGCATATTAACTGTGCTGCTAGGAATACGTAAACTCAGAATCTTGGTAAACTGTTTTTCTCATTTTTCATGAATGAGTAAACATTTTTTTCTTAATTGGAATGGTGAATCACCATCTAACAGTGGTCTACATGGCTAACATAATTGTTTGGCAGGGTTGTAATTTAATACAACACTTTCCAGTTGCCTGAAATAAAAAAACACACAATAAATCTTGGCAGAAAATTGTGCTTCAAAATTTTCCCTTCAGTTTCAATTTGTGTAAACGAAAACATGGTTGTCTAAAACCAGGAGGCATAGGTCAAGAGACGTCTGTTGAATCAAATTGCAATTGTGTTTGGGATTTTACGTAGACAGATATGGCTTACTGCCAGCATGAAAATACTGCAGCTGTGTTGTCCAGCACAACTGTGGCCAGTTGTAAGCATTTGCTTTAAATATTGAAAGAATTACTGTGAAATTTTGGTTATTGATGCACTCTAAATAAAGAATCTTACCTGTAGTGAGAAGAGAAAAGAAGAATGTCTAGTCTTGTGTCAAAATATATGTTGCATATGACAAACACTGAGTAAATTGTTAACCTACCCACTTCCTGAACATTTTTCACTGAAGAGAAAACACGCAACAGAAAACAGACAGACATTAGGAAAAGACTTAAATACTTTTGAACACCCAGTGTAAATTATTTATTGATCAAAGGGTGTCACGCCCAGTTTGTAGCATGGGGTAAAGATGTACAGTAAATGCTTCTTTAACCCAATCATTGTGATAAGTGGAAAGGTAAGGAGAGGTGGGGGGGTGTACTTATTTTATTTTCATTGGGAAATAAAGAGGTCATTTAACAATGTTAAAACACTTATTAGCTAAAGCAATAGACTTATTTCCAGATGCTCTTTCAAAGACTGATAAATTGCTAGGATTGAATACAAGGTCCACAAAATCAGTAACGGTAGATCACGTTATTTTTGTTCACCTTAGGTAGAATAATGTGATTGTAAATGAAGCTTTGCATTTTGGCCTGGATCACACTCCATTATAATTGGCACTATGCTTAGTTGCTCTCTGTGGCAAATTTAGTTCTGGTCAGCGTGTTTCAAACAGTGACTGGCAAAGTGGATAGCAAAACGCATAAAATAAGACTCCTTTCTGTGAGTTCTGAAGTCATTCGACTAAAATATTTTGCATGCCCTGGGCTGGCATTTGATCTATCCTTACTAAAGACCACTACAGGGTTGTGATGTGGAGCAATGTGTCCATTCGGAAAAAAAATTGTGCAGAATCTGAAGCGATTTGGCCTTCGGCCAGTGTTTGCTCAAGACTGAATTCTTCTAGAAGTTTGAATCTAAAATGCCCCATCACCAATTAGAACCACACAGGTATAATAGAGGATACCAGAAATGAGAATTTGAAAATTAGTTATTTTCCATGAGTATTGTAATCCCTGTTCCAAATTACGGATGATAAATCACTTTCATACCTTTGTTTTTTTTATTATAAAGAGAAGCAATAAAACATTCAATGAGGGACAAATATTTATAAAGTGTTTACATATTTCTATATAGCACCGGAAAGGAACATTGCATGCATTTTTCATGACTTAAGGACATTTTGCATAGAGAAGACAAGTACATATTTTGCCACCTGTTTAATAGGATTTGGTAGATGCCTTACTTCAGAAAATAGGGTTCACAATTTACAAGTATACAATATTTCTGTGTTGTTTGATGTTCATATTTCCTATAAAAGTGTTTTTTTTTCTCCTTGGTGTTCCAGTTGCAAAATTTAAAGATGGACTTTTCTGGGGCTCATGATTTCAGTTCATGTTTTTTTAACTGCAACAAATATTTTACTTTGTGCCAGAGGGCCTTTTAACACTTTATTGTTTGTTTTCTACGCAGCTTTATTCAACCTCATACCAGTGGGGCTTCGAGTAGTCGCTATTCAAGGTGTGAAAACAGGGCTATATATGGCAATGAACAATGAGGGATATCTTTATACATCAGTAAGTACTCACCTGCATTGACACATTAGATTGTCAATTCATTTGTACAATAGGAATAGTATTAAATGTCCTTAATGGACACAGTAATTGATTATTGCAGTAGTAAAATGTGAACATTTTGTTTCTGGGTAGACTTCAAAGTTTGTTACTTATTGGTTAAGATTTCTGAACAATTAAGTTCATTAGTTATGAATATGAAGAATTGTGTTGAGTTTGATCTATATGCTTGTGATCGCCCACATAATACAGTAAATCCTGTAAAGTGCTCTGAGACATCACGCAATGTGAAAGGCGTTATATCAAATGGAATGATTACTATTATGTATTATTTTTAATAACAATAATAATTTATTGCTTCTTATTTCTATATATTTGGAGAGTTTAAAGAGATTGTCTTTTCAAAGATGTCTTTTAAGAAAAAAAAAGCAGACAGCTGATTGAAAAATGTGTTATCTTGTAGGTTAACTTGCATATGATTCAATTTGAAAATCTCCACTGAGCTACCCAGGGATTAGCCTGCAACTATCAATTTGAAAACATTAAAAAAAACTCGATAAAATGTCTTTAAGTCACATTGGTGCAGCAGGTATTCTCTCAGTATAAGCAGTACAATTGATAAAATCTTTGATACAAATTGACAATGTGGAGCTTTACCTGTTTGTTACCACTCTGGATTTGCTGCACTCTGTGAAATGTTTGTCAGCTCTTCTCTTATTAGAAACATACTCGAAGAGAATTCAGGCAACTTATTACATCTAGGCAGATCTAAGATAACTCTTTGTGGTTCCACATATTTTAGCTCAATGCTGAAATGCAGAATACTGGCAACTGGGTGCTGCCTTATTTTTTAAGAGAAACATCTGCCTTACTTTTACAAGGCATTGGTAACTTATCTGGTTCATATCTTGCTAGGAACACCCTAACCCATTACAGCTATGGTTCACAACGTTGAGAATATGTGGACAGAACGATTAAGCAGATTGACAAGTCAAGCATCAACAGTGCCATGGGTTAAAGTGGAAATGTCTGGCTTTGCCAGATGTTTCTCTTAAGGGCCAGTTCGACCCCAGGCAGATTATGCGTATCTCTCCTCCCCCCACGGCCCCCACCCTAGAATATTTTTCAATGAAATACTCAATTTATCAACATTAAAAGATTGGTGGGCTGAGAGGATGGATCAAGTTTTGGGGCTTGCTGCCCAGTGTGCTCCCCACGGCGTAACCCAGGAATTAGCCTGTAATTTTCAAATTAAAAATGGCTCTGCATAAAACATTTCAAACCATGCTTGCCCTGATTTTCTTTCTTCTCTCATAATTATTCTTGCTTTGTCTTTTTTTAAAAAAAATTATTGTTTTTCCCCCAATTCTAACTTTTTCTGCCATTTCCTGCCATGCTGGTAACTGCAGTAACAAAGCTGCCAAGCTGCAGCTGATTGTAGATGTGACATGGTCCAAAAAAAGTTTTAATGGACAAACACAGTGTGTATTCAGTTAAAATATGCAGTGTATTGTGTGTTAGTACAAAATGCAAAACAGATGCATTTCCATGAAGATTTGTTCTAGGATTATTTGAAACATTTAACTATAAAAACAAGGCATTTTAGTTAATCCAATGAGCTGCATAAGTGGGCAGAGTCATATGAGCTAAACTGTTATTAATGCACATTGCTCATGCCAGTAGTTTTTATGATAATAAGCCATGTTTAGGTATAATTTCTGCTTTACTGCAGGAGCCTCATCCAAAAAAAACATTAGTTTTTAAACTTGTACAAACTACTACATACCCATATTTGTTTCAGATGAGAATTCTATTCCAAGTGCTGTAGAGATCCAAACTCGCATTAGTTGTAAGACATATAAAGATGGGAATGTTACCAGGGATGTGGATTAAAGGCAAATCAGTGGTTAAAGCACTCTAAGCATGACATCAATTTTCTGGTCAGAATATATTTATTTAAGCCTCTTTGGCTTCCAGTTTGAGTTAGGACTCGTGGATGAATGAAGTAGCTAAACATTAATAAACCTGATTTTATATTATACCAATTTAATGAGATAAATCAAACCATATGAGTGAGCAAATATTATGAAGGAATTGTACGTCTACATTGGGTTGAATGTTCACTTTCTTCATTGCATGCCTTTCAGACAATTGCCGAATAAATATTTAGCTCCCCAAACCCCAGGCCTTCCTGAACTGATTAATATGCTGTTAATTGTCTTTCATTATAATTGTTTTTAGCAATGAATTAAATTTCTTAATTCCTATAGGCTATCCATGCTCCTATACATACCACTTTACGGGCATATTTGCCTTTCATGAACTTTACGAAAATATATCCAGATCTTCCACAGAACTTGAGAACGTTGGCTCAGTTGTAGCACTCTTGCCTCTGTGTCAGAAGGGACTTTGAACCCACAGTCTATCCTGACACTCCCAAGTCAGGGGGTGTCAGGATAGACTTCGAATGAAATGTTATACCAAGGTCCCGGCTGCTTATTCAGGTGGAAACGAAACAGTTCCACTTCAAACTCAGCGTGAATGAAATGCAACAGCTTTAGCTTATATCTCCAGGGAATCACTTTAACACTGAAGCCGTTTTACAATGAACCTTTGCTGTCACAAAAAGGTTGAATAGGTAAATTATGTCAATGAGTGGATGAATGATATTCCACTGTATTGGATGGAAGTTATACGTGGATGAAAACAATTAAGAAAAATTGCACACCTTAGCATAGAAATGTTCAGTTCCACTACAAAACATGTCAGTGGCTGAAAAGTGGATGATAAAGCATTTATGCACAGAGCTAATTGGTGTTTACATAACATAGAAAATACAGGAAGCTGTTGGTGGTGCTTCATTCAGCTATACTCATTCTTTCAAGTGTGACAGTTGCTACCTCTGGGGATTTGTTGGACATGACACATGAACGAGATAATTAATATCAAAACTTCATCTCTTGCACTTGTGTTCTAACACACTTCAAGTGTCTGAGTATTCAGGTCTTCAGCAGTGAAAAACAGTATACTTTCATCTAGTCATAAGCCATGTTATCATGGTCTCAGATAGTGTCAGCCTGGCTCAATTGGTAGCACTCTTGCCTCAGAGTCAGAAGGTTGTGCATAACAGGACTCTGAGCTTAAAATCTAGATTCTATATTGATATTCCAATGCAGTGCTCGGAATGCTCTGCAATATTGAATGTGCTGTTCTTCAGATAAGTCATTAAGTCTACCTGCTTGTTTAGTCAATGGTGGAGATCTTGACCAGCAATCTTCCAGATCATATTGGTTGTATAATTCACAGTTGTTTGTGGGATATTGCTATGAGCAGATTCGCTACAGTGTGCACCTAAAAATACAAGTAACTACTCTTCACATCAAGGCTCGATTACGGAAACTCCTTACTCATTGGCCTTCCCAACTCTTCCCTTCAAAGCTGCAGATCATCCAAAACTCTGCAGTTCGTGTACTCCGCGACCCCATCACTTCCACCCTCACCCGACTCCTCTGGCTCCCCATCCCCCAGAGGATCGAGTTCAACATACTCGTCCTCACTTTCAAGGCCATCCATGACCTTGTCCCCTTCTACCTCTCTGACCTGCTGACTCCCTACCAACCTGCCCGCTCCCTCCGTTCAGCGAGCTCCAGCCTGCTCCATGTCTCCTGCCCGGCCCGCCCTACCATCGGTGGCCGGGCTTTCAGCCTCTCTGCCCCCACACTCTGGAATTCCACCCCACAGTCCCTTCACCTCGCTTTCTCCCTTGCCTCCTTCAAGACCAGTCTCAAGACCATCCTTTTTGATCTTGCCTTTGGTCGCCCTCCCACCTCTCTGCCTTCCCTCCCCCCTACACCACCCCTCCCGCATGCTCGGGCCCCGACACCTGACTGTTCAGCGCTTTGGGATGTCCTCCCGACGTGAAAGGCACTCTATAAATGTAATTTTGTTGTTGTTGCTGTTCACAGTAAAACTCTGTAGAGCACTTTGAGATGTTTTGATGTGGTGAGGCACTATAGAAAATGCAAGGAATATTTGTTTATTAATTATCATCAGTGGGAGTTTACAAACTCCAACCCTCAAAATACCAATTTCCAGACCATCTGATGCAGCCCATGAAACTGCAGCAGAGTCCACTTGACCACAGCCATGTTTTCTCAGGCATAACACTTCCCGCACGCACATAATGGGGACACACTGGCTCTCCCTTTTACTTTCATTATGTTACAGTGAAGTGGGAATCTCTGCAGGTATATGTTGCAGCTATTGGTTAAATGTGCAATTATTTTTCATTGTTTGCTGTACATTTTGCAAATATTTCTGACTGCAGCACAAAGATCTCAAGGGAAATCAAAACCTCTATCCATTCAGCCAAACGATTGAATGTAACATTGAAAATGTCTTTATTCCCTTCAGTGGTCTCTTGTACACATCTTCATCGGAAAAGTCTGGGTGTGGAAAATGTCTGGTTAAAATGAGGTCAATTTAGGGGAATATGGTTTATTTCACCTTTTGCTACATTGTTTATTTGTGCCTGTTTCATATGTGTTGTTTATTGAGTGCTCTATAGAAAAAGTGGGTGTGTAAAATGTGGCGTGTGATTTGAAAATTATTGCTAGTGATAAAAAATCACTGGTGATACTATTTACATCGTTGATATTTGTGGTCAAAATTGACAGTTACTTACTAAAACTTCTGATATGCCCCCTCCGCAAATTGCAGCTGATTGGTTTGTCCTTGAATGGTCTGAATTGATGGAGCTGCTGTTGTTATTGGCACTTAACTCAATCCAAGAGAGGTTCTGAGAAAGGAGAAAATATTCCATGTGTTAGAAAAGGAATACAACACCTCGCATCATTTTCCGAATCCCACAGGGTCATTATACAATTGTCAATGTATTTATCCATTGACTTGTTAACTTAATATTAGAAAATGCAGCTCCTTTAATGCCATTCCGTCAACTTCCACCTTGAAAATGTTTTTAACAACTTCACCTTCCTCTCATC